GTCGTGGTTGACTCTGTGGTGCCTGTGGTGGTCGATTCGGTGGTGCCTGTGGTGGTCGACTCAGTGGTGCCTGTCGTGGTTGATTCAGTGGTACCTGTGGTGGTCGATTCGGTGGTGCCTGTGGTGGTCGACTCAGTGGTGCCTGTCGTGGTTGACTCTGTGGTGCCTGTGGTGGTCGATTCGGTGGTGCCTGTGGTGGTCGACTCAGTGGTGCCTGTCGTAGTTGATTCAGTGGTACCTGTGGTGGTCGATTCGGTGGTGCCTGTGGTGGTCGACTCAGTGGTGCCTGTCGTAGTTGACTCTGTGGTGCCTGTGGTGGTCGATTCGGTGGTGCCTGTGGTGGTCGACTCAGTGGTGCCTGTCGCGGTCGACTTAATGGTGCCCGTCGTTCTTGATTCTGTGGTGCTCCTCGAGGTTAGTGGTACTGTCCTTGTCACAGTCGTGGTAGGCTCTGTAGGTACACTTGTCAGACTATGTGAGGTAACCATTATCGCCGACGTACTCAGAAACTTACCACGCGTACAGCGAACCTTGCTGAAGCCAAGGCCATTGTTTGTGTACCATCTACCTCTTCTGCAAAGCACTTTTTGTCTGATAAGTGTTGAAGACTGTACTCGTTGCCAATTCGCTCGTAGTTTGATGTCCAACGAGGTTTTAGAGCCCGGGGCTTTGCAGTGTATCGTCGCAGTTCCACTGCACCCTCTTCTTCTGTATCTGAAATATCGCACCGTTTGTGTATTGAATGAGAGGTCATTGCACACAATTTGGGAATGGATTGCTATTTGCTTGTTCTGCAATGGGTAGTCATTTTGTGCCTTTAGGAAGTCATATGTGTACTACTGACCAAGACACAGTTTGTTTAGTCGACGATACCACCGCTGATGGAAAGGCACGTTTGTGAAAGTGCCTCTTCATGAACCGAAGCAAGCCCTTATAGAATGCCCTCACGATCTTCAAAATATGAAGTCATTCCGCATGGCAATCCACCTCGAGGAAGCCTACCGTAATTGCTTTAGACTGAAGCAGGTACCTTATTTATTATTTCATCAATTATTTCTTTAATGAGCAGTTTTCTAGAAACAGTAGCTCCTACTATACAGGACCCCTGTAAACCAGCATTTCAGGCAACTCTGTCATGGTCCAGTTGAGAAATAGCATTGCACCATGTTCTCGTGGCGGATTCTTCTAATCTCGCCCATAACAGGCCATCGTTTTTGAAAGTGAAAAATGTTTTCTCGCATTCACCTCCCCCTCCCCCACACACACACTCTTTAGTGTCGAGCTTACTTCGAGAGGGTTTGCTATGTATCGCGCAGGTCCGCAAAGCCTGCCATGGTGCACTGAAATTCAAAGGAGGATCAAAGGCTGGCTGATGAGTTGTTGGAGGGATAATGATTAGATTTGAAGCCCTGCTTTGCATATCGAAAAAACTATATCCGTGATTGACGTAGAAAATGTTCTTTCCCCGTAGGTTGAACGTCATCCTCTTTATGCGTAACACTTCGAAAGCTTTTCCGGCTCAAAGAGAATAACGTTACTTCAGTCAGTGGTACCAATACGTACACCTCAGCTGAGTAGTAGGGATGGGCTTGTCCTGCACCTCGCCAGTAGAAATAATACGGAGAAAAAGTATGAGTGGACTTTTCAATTTGCACATGCCCATATCCGAAAACATTCAACATCTTTTTTTTCTTTCTAGGTCAGAGAAGCTCGCCCGCCAGAATGGAATTTCCATTGCATTTAAAGGAATTTCACGGACCATGGACCCAGTGGGCGGGACCGGAAGTTTTTGTGACGAAATGCATGGTAGGTACGGACGGTGTCGAACGCACGAACGTGAACAGGATTCACTTCAAACCTTCCCATGAACGTGGATCCGTACCTACCATGCATTTCGTCGCAAAACCACTTCCGGTCCCGCCCACTGGTCCATGGTCCGTGGAAGATTCCTTTAAGCAACTCTTATTTGCCAGATTCTTGGATTATGTTGCAGAGTGCAAATCCGGTCTCGTTGCAGTTTCATATCATTTCGATAGTGTGTGTACATGGATATGATAGATAAGTCTCGGTCATGTGTAGGCCTTGTTGTTTCTATTTGCTGTGTACTTATTTTTTTTTACTCTTCTAATTATTAATGCAGCGGAAACGAATTTCATTTCAATACGCTATGAATCTTTGTTTTAGTGCAAAGTTGTTGATCAATGTGGTTCCTTTTGCTATTCTTAGGACGGAATTGTATTTTACTTGTTTATGTGGTTCTCAATGTAACCTTCACGACGACTGGCTCCTGTGCTCCACTGTTCTCTCTTGGTCTCGCGCGGGAGGAGGCAGCGGGGTTCGAAGGACGCTATTTTGTCTGGTGACGCCGCGGAACGGCTCTACAAGTTGAAACACACAATTTCTGATTGTTTGGTAAATGAACAAAACACCGTTATGCTAATGGATAAAGGTCATTTAAAAAATATATTATCTGCCAAGATGGCAGACTTGGACTGTTAATTATTGGTTATCTCTAATGAGTTTGTTTTATTTTGGTTTGTGTGTTAATATATTTGATTAGGAAATTTCGGAATAGTAACGTAACAAATTAGTGTTACAAAGAAGAGTAGTGTACATCGCATCTTAGTTCTCGGTGTGAAAGGGATTTATATAGTAGACAAAGTGCTCGCATGTTAAACGTTAGATTATCTTCGAGGTTTGCCCACCTATCTGTCCATTCCTAGCGCCTGACAAGCGATTTTCAATTGGCAACCCATATGGGCTGCCATCGTCGTCCAGGCTCGCACGTTCTAGGCAGGCTCATATGGGCGGCCATCGGCGTGAAAGTGCTAGGCGATGTCATTAGTTTGCGAATCGAACTTTGCGCCAGCGAGTCGAACGATGTACCAGCGAGTCGAACTAGGTACCAGCGACTCAATAGTGGCGGGACCCAACTTTCAAAGGAAGCCGCCACATTCAAACAGTGTCACGTGACAGTGGACGCTGTTTGAAGAGTGGCGGGAGTTGACAGTGGCACTGTTTGGAAGTGGCGGACTTCCTTTAAAGTTGGGTCCCGCCACTATTGAGTCGCTGGTACCTAGTTCGACTCGCTGGTACATCGTTCGACTCGCTGGCGCAAAGTTCGATTCGCTGGTGCAACGTTCGATTCGCTGGCGCAACGCTCGGATCGAGCGATTCGCTAGCGAATCGCTCGATTCGCAAACTATGACATCGGCCTTAAGATCATCCATTTTTGACTGCAATTGGCTTAGCGCAGCTACAGGACTGAGTTCGAAAGCGGCCTTCACTTAAGTGGTCTAATGAATTCTCTTATTGTTTTCCATTTTAGGTGGAGCACTTTTCGTCTGCTTTTGTGACGATCTGCTTTCTTAACATTTGTAGTGATCTGATCTAGTTTTAGTCCCGGCAATAGCTCTCTACTTATGCAAATAATAAATAAATAAATAAATGTACTAACGTTACGAGTGGTTCAACGCAGTTGGTCCGACCACGTCTACATTTGACCGTCGAAATAAATGGACACACGGGGCAGTCTGAATGACATGTGAATAAAAGTGTAGTTTGACTCACTTCTCTATTGTTAATTATTCACGGTTATTAGAAAAGCAGCTACGAGACCGCTAGAAGAGTTCCTACTTCTTTCGCCTCCCGGAGCACGCGGAATGTCTCGTGGAAAAGGTGGAGGCGGTGGAATGAATATGCGACTCAATACTGGAGGAGGAGGCTAAACCGAGTATTATACACAAGTTATAAACTATGCCGTGGTGAACCAAAATTCTGGAAACAATTCTCTAAAATCGGAACAAGTGAATATGCAACCCAATCATTCATTCGAAAACGTCACAAAACTGGAAAGCCAGAAAAGCCTTTAATTATCAGTCTTAGACTACCTGTCTGCGAGGGAAAGGTCTTGGTCCAACGGCTTTCCCCCCATACTCGCATAGCAGGAACACAGCGACTATAACGTGAAGTACTCCCATGAATACTAGCACCAGTATTGTATTGAAGCGTTTTTATATGTGCACCATATTAATTTGAAATAACAATCTAATGACTACCACATTCAAATTGCAATATTAGATTAAGGAATGTGTTAATAATTGACTGGCAAATAGAATGTTGCTTCTTCAGTAATGTCGGAAATTGGCAGCAATGTCATCTAATTAACAATCAAAAGTCATTCCATTGATCTGATCAGAACCAAGCGCTTCAAGCGTAAGTTAAAGAAATGGGCTACCCTCCAACATGCAAAGAGGCCTGTCCGGTCCCTTGTAAATGGCAATGCCTGCTTTCGAAAAAATGAAGTAGCTAAGTTTCAAAGGCGTTTCTACCCAGTTAATAGTTCAACATCCTATTGCATAGGTGATATTTTAAACCTCGCTGAATTGTAGCCGTTTTTTCACCACAGAATATAAAAGATGAATTAGTGAGTCGGTGAACTATCAGGTTGAATCACAAGCACCTCATCTTTCCAGACCCTTGCGAAGTTCCTACTTATAGACATTGTCTGTGACAAAGTAAGAGGTAGGAACCCTAATAACCGTGGACACTAAAGAAGCTCGCGTACCTAAATTTGTTCTTGAAAATTACTAAAGGGCTGGTCTCGAGTCCCACTGTTTGCAAATTATCGTGCAAGCATTTTGCGAGAAACCATCAAGCGAAGCCTGCCGAAATATCGCTGAACGAGTAGATGCAAAAAACGTTCTTGACATAAGTTCAGAAAGTTGAGGACATTTGGGAGCTGGGAACTATGATCACTTCAGGAGCTTCAGGAAGCTAATTCAATTGTTAGCACTCTTGATAGTTGATAGTCGGCGTAAGCAGGGTACAGGCGAGGGGGAGTGGGGTGCACATTCAAAGATAACGATTGAAAACGCTGAAAACGGTGATGTCTGCCAAGGCTTTCAGGCAGCTAACAAAACAACCCAATTCAACAAATTACACATTTTCAGAATCGTTCGGAAAGACAGCAGCTAGAAAAACAAAACATGTCAAAAACTGCAACTCATTGCCACAAGCTCATTTTCCACGCTATTATTCAAACTCTTTTCAACTTTTTGTTGTTCTGTTAACTGCCTAAATTGCTTGTTCTCTTGCATTGCCTGAAAGTTCCGTCAGATATATAGTAGGTTCTGGAATGCTTTCGTCTATTAACTGTGGCTGAAAGCTGTCATTTTTTGTCACTTCCGTTTTAGGCCGATGTCAGACTTTGCGAATCGCGCGATTCGCTAGCGTCTGCGGTCGCGTCGCGGCCAGTGAATCACTCAATTGGCTGGTACCGCAACGCGACCGCGGACGCTAGCGAATCGCGCGAATCGCTAGTAGCGAATCGCGCGATTCGCAAAGTCTGACATCGGCCTTAACACGTTGACGACATCGCGTGTTTTGGCATTTTGCACCGCGTGGGACAGGAGCGATTTTGCGAGCGCGCCGTCCTCACCTTACTTCCGCTTATTTTTTGTTTAAAATGCACAACAACTTGAATCTCATAGAATTATTTCGGCAAGGATGAAAGCATAAAGGTTATATAAGTAGCAGTAGATTTTTGTTTAGAAGAACGCATAATGACCACGAAGAAGCAAAAAACATCACTTTCGCTGCGAATGAAGTTAAAAGCATTTATACCTAAGTTCTTCCATCAAATACAAATATCTTGAAACTCACAGAGTTTTGTATTAACTGCTTCTACAATCTTTCATATGAATGTTTACGACAGTGAAAGGAATACTAGGAAAGAATTGAATGAAAGTTTTGTGCGTTCAGAAAATCTTTGCTAAATCAAGGGATATTTGACCACTCTGGCTGCCATGTGGTTTATAGTTATGCTAATGTATTATCTATAGAATGAATACAAAAAACTCGAGAAGAAGGAGCGCAAGCACAATAAAAATGAATTATATAGTTCTGACGCGCATGCGCGTCAGCCTGTCGTCAACGTGTTAGATGCCTTATTTCCTCTTAATTCCAACAAGCACTACCACGTTTACAAACACCATTTTGAGAAGCTTTTATTGCTCTCTCGAATAGATAGCTCTCTTGTTTTGAAACACTTTCTTATAACTTCTTCAAAGGCTTGAACGCGGCATATCAATCAAATTCAATCAGTGAGTTTAAGCAAACCAGCCCTTTTGGCGCTTCGGCTGGGACCGTATGCTGAATGTTGGGGAGGGGATGGGGTCCCCAACGGTCGACGGTTTACTTCAACTCGGTTGGTACGATAGGAGAGTACTGACGCAAGTGGTGCAGCTGGTCCAGCAGCTCCGCCAGAAGGGCTGGTTTGCTCACCCCAGGACTAAGCCTTGGAGAGGGGACGGACCCGTCCTCTCTTTAAGGCTTAGTTCTGAGGTAAGCACCAAATTGTGGCGGTTCTAAGGACCGAGTTGAAGTGGTCCGTCCACCGTCGGGGACTCCATCCCCTCCCCAACATTCAGCATACGGTCCCAGCCGAAGCGCCAAAAGGGCTGGTTTGCTTACGTCCTGCGAGGCTCGAGCAATTCGATAATGATGATGATGAACAGCCCCACGTCGATACAGTGATAGTTTTCTACCTTCTAGTTAGCTATAGGATCTGCAAAAAGTTGATTCTGAAGGAAATTATGAACGTTTGAACGCCGAAAGCTGTCACAAAAAATGGAACAGCGCGAAGATGTTTTGAACAACTGACCATTTGTGACAGTTATTCATTGTGACAGTTTCAACACTGTAGAAAGAGAAAACATTTCGAATTTTTCGGATTTTCGTATCCCGTTCCATGAGAACGTTCCCGAAGGAAGATATAACCCTTTGGTTGAAGGGGTTCGCAACTACAGCAAGGCTGTTTTTGACCTCATAGAAAAGGGAGTTTCGGAGATTCAACAAACTTGGTAGGTTTCTGGAAGAGTTCTTCGTGAGTACAAAAGTAACTAAGTTTATGTTAAATATTGAACTCTTCATTAAATGAGTAAATTTCATGCCGCCTTGAGCACGTCCTGTGAGCAAGGCAAAGTGCGCGACTTATCGACTTCCAAATGCCCACCACCTCTTCAACAAGGCAATGGCCCATACATCGATAAGGGGCATAATGATATTAAAGGCACAATCCAGGCAGAGGTCGTGTGAACGCTTCCCTTCGGTCTGTAGTATAGACCCCTAGAGGACAATCACAAATGTGGCGTTCCGTGCACGGAAACCAACCGACAAGAGCGCTTGGGCCTTGCAAAGTAAGCTGCTGAAGCTGCAGATTTTTTTCTCTTATCAGGCTGTTGTCTGGCGCTCTCTCATCTGTTGCGCTCTCTCGCCTCATACTCTCCTCTCCGCGCTTAGTCTCTCATTCCCTTAGCACAGCCGATTAGGAAGGTGAGTGAGCCCTTAACCTAAGCGTTTTCGACGGATTCTTTTCCTTTTTCTTTACTGCCGGCCCATTTCGCACCAATACATTCGCATTCGTGTGCAAGAGCCACACCAATGTGATCCTGGGGCATGCCTTCAAAAGGACATGAATAGCTAATACAGGGGGACACACTGATACCCTCTAAGGGCGCATGCATAGTCGGTCGTCCGACAGCAACGATCGCAAGTGTCGCACAGCATTGGGTGCGTATCGATCGTCAGAAGTGCGACACTTACGACCGCTGCTGTCGGACGACAGCAACGATCGCAAGTGTCGCACGATCAATACGCAGCTATACACTGCGTTTCATAAATATAGGTCCACCCTAAATTTTTGCTATTCCAAAGTTGCTGTGCATTTTTGGGAAATGCTGCTATCACCATTAGATTCC